TTATGTAATTTGATACATTTCAATTATTTAATTATGATCACACGGCGATATAGATAGGCATTTTAGGTACACTAATGTCATGGGTTTCTTTTTTTGGCATTTTATAAGTGTATTTTTTACTTCATAAATACAATAGTCAATAATAAATAAAAAAAGACAGAACATATAAATTATCATAATGTTATTATGAATACTATATTCTATTTACTGAATGCAATTTTTGGATCTTAAGCTGCAGGAAGTAATTAGGTAGCAATAGACAATAGTTTTTTTTTAGTGTTGGAAATTTGCAATTAAACTTAATAGGTACTTATTTATTTATTTATTAATGAATCAACTTTAAACATACATTCAATATTTACATGAATTTTTAATTTCCAGTTCATTCTTAATCCCTATTAAGTATTAAGTGTGTGGCGAGAGTAGGGAGTCTATTACAATAATTAATTATTACATTTTAAACACACGGAGGACGGAGTGGACGAGCGGACTAAGGCGTCAGTTGCGACGCGCACCGACGCCGGTTCAAAACCTCGGCTACGTGCGGCATTTTTCTTCGGACAAGTCACGGTGTCCGGAGAGAAGTGCCGCCATTCTCCGCCCAGGAATAGCAGATACCTACGGGTAACCACTAAAAAAAAATATTAGTATTCTTATACATTTTTATAAGCTGAACCCCCATACAATTATAAGCCATACATTAATACAGATCGAACTAATTTGAAATACACCATTTTTAAACTGGTATCTAGTATTTAGAATATTCCTTACTTCTTTGAAAATATTAAACATTTGCGTTTACGTGATATTATATCATTTGCATATAAGGTTTCCATTTTAGATGTTCGTAGTATATTACTCCTAAGGATTTGGCTGAACTTGCACTAGATGTATATTATACGTATATGGTATATAATACATACCTACAATTTAAATTACATATTTTATCAACCATACTTTTTTTTTGTACAGTTATTATTATGTAATTTAATTGTGAATTGTTCTGGTATTTTTGCCTTGTATGGCAAAATGCGTAAAAACTGATTTTTTTTTAATTTAACATTTAACTATTTTTAGTCTACCAATTAATAACCAATAATAGTCCTGAGTTTGCTTCTTTTTCCAGCTCAGACCAATTATCTCACTCGAAAAATAAAACAATGTCGTCAAGCTAATATACTGCTAAATGGCATATCTAAATTTAATAAATCATTTACATAAATAGTATATAATATGAGACCCAAAACTGAACACGAGTCACTTATAGTATCATTAGTTCTAACTCTTTGGTATTTATTTGAGAGATATTATTTGAACCAATATAGAAATGTGTTATAACACTTATAACCTAATATTATGTTTAATGTTTTTAGTAGTAAATCATGTGATATTAAATCAAATGCTTTTGCTATGTCCAAGAATATACCTACACATATTTTACATTTATTTAATGATTCGTAGATTCTTGGTAGGTATTGACAACCCTTAATTGTCTCTAAATCTAAATTTTTATCACTTATAATTTACTTGTATCTAAAATGAACTGGTTTAATTGAATCTTAGCACATATTTCAATAATCTTAGCTATAGCAGATATTAAAGAAATTGGTCAATAATTTTGGAACTCACTCACATAATATGATTTATATAATATAGAGCTTATAACTGTTTTTATTTATAAATATAAATATATATTTATAAATGGAAAACAAAAAAATTATTTATCATGGATATAAAAAAAATAATGATCTCATGATATTTTTACTGCGTATAATGTGTATAGTTTAATGATGATAATATGGTATAAGTATATAATATATAGATTTTTTTTTACTTAACTAATTTTTTTTTGATTTAGCATAATAAGTTTTGGTAATGACAAAAAATTTTTTTCAAACACATAATCGATTGCAACATTTTAAAATTAATTGACACGAAAATAATTTTAGTACCATCATGGTTTGTATGAAAAATTATATTTTGAAAACAGATTTTATAATTTGTACAGAATTTAATCCTCATATCATATTCCATAATACCTCAAACGTTTTGGTTTTTAATTAAATAAACTTTATAATACTTGATATAATAGTTGGTAATATTACCATATTTCTTCTTTAGTACATGTTTTAATGTTTTATGTAAATAAGAATAGTATGATAATAGTTTTAAATATATACTATTATGTTGTTGTAGTAGGTCTAATAAGAAATAAGGTTAATACAGTATATTATAATAGTTTTATCTTCCAATAATTTTAATATCAATTAATTGCTATTTGTTTGCCCTGCTTACATAAAATGTTAACGAGTTAAAAATATATTTATAGGTATACTTTATATTTTATAATATCTATTATAATATGTTTGATTACCTTAATATTACCTGTCATATTATTTATTACCCATTTCCAATTATTATAGTATTTATATTATGTACACGTACATATATTTTATTGTTTTAAACTTTAACCAAAACTATACTGATAAGTTAATCGCCAATCACCTAGAACTGAATCGTCAATGTAATTATTTATTATAATATATACTTAAGCCAAAATACACCGAAAGTCTTGTCCAAACCACTATTGGTGGATTTCCCAGCTTAGTCTTATTCATGGTTGAAATAAACAAGGTTATTGCATATATACCCCTTCTCAATCAAATATTTGATGATAAAAACAAAAATGGCAGCGTAAAGGGAGCCAATAACAATCAAGTATGTAAGGGCGGGATTTTGAATTTGTTAGCTTTTTTCGGCGTATTTTTGATGATAAGAAAAATTGATATTTGTGATATCCTTTTACGCAGCCATTTTGTTTCTTATGATAACAATCCGAGTCGATATGCAATAACCTGTATATTTCAAGTTTCAGCCATGGTTTTATTTGCTTATGACCCGATACAGAACTTAGAATTGAACTTAAATAAGCAGAGGATCATACATCTGTTCATACGTAGAAGGTATACGGTTGTAATCCCCCTCCCACTGTGACAAGAGGTGACAGACGATATCCACCGACAACTCAGTCGTACCTCTTCAGCTGCAGTGGTCGTGGTAAGCGGAATGTGTGCAACGGTTTCGACGGAAGCGATTGAGTTGCGTGTAAGTTTTGAAGACAAATTAAGCTGACAGCACCGCCCTGGAGACCCTCGAGTCACCTAAAAGTTAAGATTATAGGTTAGGGGTCTCACAAGCGCTCTCGATCGTGGCCTTTCCAGGTATGGTGGTGTAGTGGTCTCATCGATGACCACCAACGGTTACGGGTCGAAAACGTATCGGTCACTACAACGGTGGTTTTTACCTCGGCCTAGCCACGCTTGTCGCAACGGATTTCGCTGACACTCCTGAATGTTTTCACCACCATAATTGTCATCGTTCACAAGCACAACAACTAATACGTTCCGGCCAGCAGCCGCCATGCCTCCGTAACGGTGTTTAGACTTTGTTAATATTACGAAGAAAAAACACAATAGAAATAATTTAGTATTTGTATAACTCTTTTATGATTAAATATTTTAATTATTTAAATAACAGATGTAAATATTGTATTTAACAACGATATAATTGTGATAATTTGTCCAAAACGAACTTTATCAAATTCATTGAATATATTTTAAAAATTACATGCTAAATATAATAAATATCTATATAACAGCTACAATATACGTTATACGCACGCTTACATTTTATTGATCAACGATGAGAATCGACCGACATACAAAATCAAAAATGGAAGATCGTAGTATTACAATTATATACTTGAGCCAAATAATATTAAAAAGACAAAAAACAACAATAATAATATACTAATGATATACAGTAAGAAGTTATATTATTCATACATCGAATGAAAATAAATCAGTAGTATTTTGACACGTTTCTTAAATTCTAAAAATATTGCTCCACAAATCGTCAATCGTTGGGTATTTGAACTTTTACTAAAGAATAATTTACTATCCAACTAATGCAATTCAGTTTATTAAGACGGACAGAAAACAAAAGATGAACTTGATTGTCTTACGTTCTAAAATCTTATACATTTCTTCGTTTATGGGATTTTAAGTATGGTTCGAAATATATTTACTATCGAGCAACTAAAACAATTTATCTAATACCTAAATGATTTAATAGGACAGCGGACACGAGACGATTTTCCACATAGTTTATAATTTCAGAAGGATAATAACGAGAGTATATGTATCTATATTAACATGAAAATATTAAATATATCAATAACACAACTCAAAATTCACAACATTTGGTAAAATAGGTATTTCAGTAAAAATATAAATTCTATAATTTAACAAGATAATAATTTACGACAGTAAGATACAAAATCAATAGTAGTAATAATAATAATAATAATAATAATAAAATAAAATAATTAATAATATTAGAGGGTCATAATTTATTAGCTGCCTTCCTTTATAATACTGCCAAATATCCATACATAAAACATGTATGTAACCTTTTAAAGATTTGCGGAGCTGTGGTCTTCACATCTGCTTCCGAACTCTCAAAATTAATTAAAACCTTATTATGGTTTGAGTTTGACCGGAATGTTAAAAATATTTAAATAATTTACCTATGTTTAAAAATTTGATACTTAGATATCGAATTAAAAAGAAGAATATTTTTTCAACGACTTAATCGAAAATAAAATATACTAAAATAGAATCTAGGATATTATTTGGATATTTCATTATGTTGGATAGATGCAATTTTATCAGTAAACATTTTAAGCGAACCATTTCAATTAAAATGTATTCCAACATTCCTCACTAACCCAACAAACTATTTTAAAACACTTTAACCGGTTAAAGTTGATAGCGGTATCGCAGTTATATAGGTACATCACAGGAGAACACTCAAAAAAGAATTGTTTAAACAACTCATATTACAAGATTACGTTTATATCGTAATACGCTGAATATAACTCATACTATGAGACATTTCTAAGGTCTCCTATATATATTTTAAGATAAAGTTGTATATTTTTATGACCTAACACTGTCCCGTTCGATTTCCAATTGGCCAGCGCCCCACAATAGTCGATTTTTCGTGAATGGAATGAGCCCGATGAAGACACCAGACAAAACGATCCAAAAACCGGCTAAGTAAAAAGATAAGTCCCAAAAGCCAGTCAAATCAGATACCCAACCTGTAAACAGAAAAAAATTATTGTTTTAGTGATATTTGTCATCTTATAAAATATAAATCATAATCATAACCGTTCCATGCTAAAAAATATAAAAATATCCAATATTACTTTTATCACAAAAGGATTCCTAAAAAATATTCTTCTTACGTTAAAAATTATCAAAAAATAATAAATTATAATATGTAGAATACTATTTAGGGGACGTAATGCTACCGCAGTCCCTTCTCCGGTTCTCGATACCACGAAAAAAAAAAATGAAATTGTAGAATACTTAAAGAATTTAAACATTTTATAATTGTGCTAATAAGTAATTTGACTCCATACTATATTTCAGTGGAAATGTATACAATATAATATATATACACAATATGTAGGTACATAATATTACATAATATTATAGATGAGAAAATTGAAATTTTTGTTTCGTGGTAAGGCTATAGGTAGATTATAATTGAGTTATATTTACGTTTTTATTTCGAAAAAAAAAAGAAAAAAATATGTTTACTGAGGATGATGAATTAAATAAATTCTTCAATCGTTCTGGCATCATCACTGAAGCAATTTTTTCAGTAGGTATGCATTCTGAATATAAATTTTATACATTTGCACAACTTTTTTTTTTCATTCGGGTCCTACACAAAAATTAAGTTAAGTCTATACTTTTTATATTTTATAGTAGTCTGAGTTTAATAGATCTAATTATATTCTTATTTTACTTGTCATCAGGGAAAAGAAAAAATTATAAACGTGCTTTCATCATTCATAATATCTCCAAGGATCAATGAGAAAAATAATTTGTAATTTATTTTGCAGATGGACAATTTGTATTGTATATGACACTGAATACATGTTTACGAATCGTTATCTATCGACTACCTATCATGCGTTGTGATATATTAAAACGTCATTAGTTTTTAATTAAATATTTCTATACATTTATATTATTACACATATAAGAATGTAGGGGAGACTGGTTACAATATTTAAATACAGATGTAACTCTGTTTAATGTATAATATTATTTTTATTATCAACATGCATATATCACATGTATTTTATGAAATAAGAATGAATGAAAAATAACAATGGGTTTATATGACAACAAAACGAAAAAAACAACACAAGTTCTCTATAATTAACATTTATTTAGTATTATTTACTCAACATTTAAAAATACTTATGAAAATAAATTAGTACAGTTTAACTTTGTGTTGTCGAAAGAGAGCTCTGTGTATCTGTGTAATAAGTATTATTTTTTATTCTTTGTTTATTTTTAAACAAATTTAAAGGGGATAAATGTTACAATTTATCAGGGGACAATTATTGTAACTATTAATTTTCATTGGAATTTCATTTATTTATTTTTGGTATCAAAATTAGGTATGCCATATGCCTCAAAAAGACAAATAATGTTAAACAAAAGAACAGACAACGAACTATAGAAAGCTGCAAATGTGTGATATTTATATTTTAATGATGAGAAATCGGATACATAATGTGTATTACAGTATTAATGAATATTGAATTGTATTAATTTGTTAAAAATTTTAAAGTACCTAAGGTACTGTTTATAATTTTGTAATATTTATGTTGATTTTATGTCATTTTAATAAGCTTTTTTTTATTTTATTGGTTGTTAATTAAGTTTAAACAATTAAAATATAATGTTATTAACAATCTGATAAATACATTTGTTACATTTGTCTCTGACGCTGGTATTTGTCTCTATATAGGTACTGGGTAAAATGTAAACACTTATTTTTAATATTTAAATTTAAATTTACTCAACAATAACTTGTGAAAGTTAAAGTTCAATAATCTAAAATAACTATGACTGCAAATAAAATATTGTTTTACATCACATATGTAGCTCATAGGTTTATTTTATAATAATTATTATTTAAATTAGGTATCCGTCACTCTTACAAATTTGTTTTTATTTTATCCGTCTAACATTCAGTTATCTAACAATCGTCAACCTCTTGGTATCGTCACTGATGGATAATTGAGATCTTACTTATTATTGTAATCCATTTGCATTATACAAATGTTATACACAATATGTAATACATCGTGTATATTTGTTTACCTGCCAACGGCGGTCCCAATAGATTGCCAATACCTTGGCACAGTAACATCAGACCATAGGCAGTGGTGAACCGGTCCAGCGGTATGAGTTCTACCAAAATGGCGGGCGTGAACGAGAAATTGGATGCGAAAAACAGACCGAACGCGGCTCCGATGACGATCAGCGACCAAAAGCTGCTGATAAACAAAGGCATGATGGCACAGCAAATGCCACAGCCCACTAGACAGATCGCATACACCTTGGTCACGTTCATCCATGGATAATCACCAGCCCAGCCGAGTAATATCTAAAAACAAATAATAATATCAAAAAACGTGTACATTAAGAGATACTATATTATTCATTGGTTCTCAATCAATAACAATTTTATTGTTATAATCTTTTAACCTGATTTAAACTTTATCAACTTTAAATCCTTTATAAATTATAATATTATGTCCTGCTAAATAAATCCGTTTTAAATTTAATTTGTAATACAGTTATGAGTTAATACAATTTAATGAGTATAAGCCTTATTATACTCTAACTTCATTTTTTTTTTAAATAAATAATCTATCATTATAAGGTTCAACGGTTAAAATATAACGATTTTTGTAGACATTAAATAACATAAAAAAGATAAGAAAATAGTATAATACATATTTGCATAAAACAAGCAAATACGTAAACGTGACATATTAACATATTATATTATTATCATTATTACACCCAAATTAACTTCTTTTTTCAATTGATATTTAATAATTTATATAGAAGTATCCACAAAGGAAATAATATAACTAACATTATTACAACAGTACATAATTTATGTATTTAGTGATTCAAGTAGGACGTAGGTATGCCTAGTACCATAAACAAATATTAATATTTATAATCAATGCTAGTATACCTATATGATGTACTTATGCGTGTTAGCCCCATGTGATACTAGCGCTATAGTGATTTGTGATTTTTTTTAATAATTATTGATATTTAAAATCTTATAGTTCTCATGTAAATTTTTTTATAGAATATCTAGGTTCCTATTTTAGAGATAATCGAACTACAGTAGGTACTCTAGCTTCTAGAATACCTGCAGTCCTCTAAAATCGGTATCAACTGAAGAAACGATCCCTCCCCCGCCCATTACATTTCATTATTTTGTATCTATGTTATATTGGATTCAATGAAGGACAAGTATATTAATATTAAACATTTTGTAACTATTAATAATTATGTATCGATTTATGTAATAATACGTACCATTCCGACAGTGTTCGTAGCTCCAATAGTGCTGATGATAGTAGATGCATCGGTTTCGCTCAGTCCCTGAGCCATTACAAAATCGGTGAGATAGAAATACGGCACAATAAACCACGTGAACAGCAATATCGTGGATAGTGACAGGAATAGGAAATGTAGTTCCAAAAACATACTGAAGTCTAAGATACCACTGAACAGCTCTTTTACTTCGGTGTACCATTCCTATACCAAAGAAATCATATTTAATCATATTGTTTTAATGGATGGGGGAGGTACAATGCGATGTATGATTGAATAATATATTAAATAAAATAATTTGCAAATCCACACTATTCCAACAATGTTTTAAATATTTTTGTCACATTTATAATACATTCATTACATTTTGTGCAATTCAAAATAAAACATATGAATTAGAGTTAATAATAAAAAAACGTCATAATATTATTTTAACTTTTTATAAAATTTGAACGTTTCTCTATAGAAATGTGATGTATAGTTGTAAAGCATCGGCTTATAGAAAAATGAGAAAGACATTGTTATTATCTGTCTGATTTGAATAGATCGTGTAAAAAAATCAAACGAAAAGGTTTTAATATGTATAGCTTATAATTTATAAATATATATATTGGCGGAATTAAATTACGTTATTAAGAATTACACCTCATAACGAGTCATAATTCTTTCAGGAAACTATACATTTTTGCTCTTTATTACTAGGATTACCAAAACAAGACCCGACTTTATACACCTTGAATTGTTAATTGTAGGGTTCATGTTCTTGTCATAACATAAACTTGCCTACCATTGTATAGATTTATCAGAATAATAATGCAAAATATTATAATAAATCATTGTTTAAATTCATAATAACATGAGACATGCAAGTATACCTAAGCATCCACCTACGCCGACTGCAATCCGCATTTAATGCAATATTAATTATTCCTATTCGAAATCATTGCATATTAATATGTTGTTATAATATCGTGCTTTCAAGTATCAGACTTATAGTTGCATGCAAGTCTCAACTTCACTCACTACAAGACTCGTAGGTATATCGTATATATTCAATAACCCTGGCCGTTTTTACGGTACTTTAATGATTCAAACGGCATAATAATATAGGCAGTCAAGATATATCATTACGATGCTTATATGATGCTCAAAGACTTGATAATATTATAACGAGGCCATTGGCAGTCTAGTTTGTGTGATTCACTCTTAAGCCCACGCCACCGCACAAGCTCGACGTCTGCAGCACACCGCCCGCCGCAGACGCTCCCCCCCTCCCCCGACCACCCATCCCGATCACCGAGTGTGTAAGTACGCATTTTAACCTGCTCGGAGAAATCTGGGGCCAGGGCGTTTGCGCGAACGCTATCGATCGAACGGCGTTAGCTTTTGACCCGACTCAACATACTAAAAACTCTATGTGTATATATATATATATAATAATCGTGTACAACTCAGCCGCCGCGCAGATCGATGCGAGACCGGTGAAAATGCGATGTCATAGTCAGAATTCTTCCGCTCAAATTGTACTATAATTTATGCACTCGCGAGCATAATATGAATAAAATAAATATTATTATAAACATGAAATTAATATATTATTATACTATTATGACTTATCACTCAACGTCCGAAAATGTATACTTGTTCAGTTCATATTATACTGTGTTATGTACCTATTATTTATAATATATAGTTTATACGAGCACAGGGTTCGTCTGCACGGTATTAACTTTTATCGTAAAACCACAATCGTGTTTCACCGTAGTACATACGTGCCTGGGCTAATGGAATTTCTATTGACCCGTCGTTAAATAGTGAGCTCTCATATTATAATATTATATTATTATATGATGTTGTATTTGATAGTATATATAGGCGAATAATTCAAATTAATTGTCTATACATATTACATATATCACCAGAAATTATTAGAATTGAGCAGTATCAAGAATGACTAAGCAATATTTAAAGTGTCCGTTCTATACATGAATTTATATTATTTCCTAATCATTTTTGAAAATGAATAATAACTAATAAGTATAGAAAATTATTAAAATTATGTTACTTGACAAAATTATACCTTTTAAGCTTGCTAAAAATAGAAATATTGATTATGAATTATGATCAATGAGTAATGCTGATGCTCCTTAGTCAATGCGATAATTTTCGTATTATATAATTGGCCGATTTTTTTAATACAACTGAATTAATTATGATGCAAATATATTTTATTTTCTGCACATGGCAAACTACTATAACATTTTAGTTACATATTTTATTACTACCATGACAGCAGACAGGTAGGTACACTTATTATATACTCTTACATTTCATTTTGCAAAAACATTTTTGAAATCCCTGTGGACCAGTGATAGTATTTTAATCCGTTGCTTTTTGAAGAGTTATCTCCTTTTGTGACCTAGGAAACGTACGACTTAAATAATCAATAATCGCTTGTTGATAATAATCTTTTCACGACTCACGAACATGCTATATTAAGCTGTTGTCGAATCATATATAAGTGTGTACTGTATTGTGAATATCTGTGCGACTGTGATCAATTGTTCGTCCTTGTACTTTGCGACCATCTTGGTTAATGTTATAAAAATATTTCATAAGTTTTTCTAGAGAGGCGAGTGGGCCAATCTGTATACAATTGTACTATACTATAGGCGTATTATACACTTATAGTTTGAAATTATTTTATTGAGGTATAAAAAATAAAAACGATATTTGTAATATTATTAGAAAATTAATTTTATATATAAAAACATAATTTATTGTTAATTGTAATTACATTATTTTAAATTTTAATTATGCTTGTCGCTAGTATATCAGAATTGGTACCTACCATGATTTATATGATAATTTACACTAAAATTATTGTTGTAGGCAAAATAGTTCAATTGTTGATTATTTAAGATAATAATAGTCTTATACCAAATTATTCCAAGTTTGAACGAAAAAGCTATCAAGTGCTAAACCGTGAAAAACAGATGAAAATTAGGGATGATGAAATTATATATTATTACAGCTTTATTATTGATCAATGAAAAAACAAGTCGTAAAAAGTTTGATTTTTACTTTTTACTTCAACAAATAATTTGAAAGATTAAAAAATTTAAATTCATAGTAACGTTATTCTGCGAAGCCAATGAGAAAAATATTTTCTCATAAACGGTTAGGTTACGGTACGGTATTCGTATAAAACCGATTGGTAATTTAATACTTATACTAAATAATACACAATGCCTATATAGTCAATATTAAAATGTAAGTAGGTACATATATAACGATCCAACGGGGTATTATAGGTTTCATGCTTTCATATTATAACCGATATAATGCTAATAGTCATAGTTGCGATGTTTAAGATTACTAATAAAAAAAAACGTTATGTTATAGAAATTATAATATTTACAAAAAATCAACAACCATTACATTTATGACAAAATGATCACTAAATAAAATTTAGAATTCTGATTTATTTATATTGGATTCTAAAATAAAATGTTCAAACAACGTCCGGCCTTCATACAGATTACAGATCGTGTACAGCAATAATTACGAGAACTGGAAACAGTGTTGTGCTACTGATGTTGAACCACTACAATAATTATATAGTCAGGTATATTATAATAGTATTGTTATATCACCACAAATTTTGAACACGAATCCACTTATAAAAATAGGACCCGCTGTGTAATAGTACACATGCAGGTTCCAAGAGCACACCCGGCCTTATCTACCCGCAACTATAAACCTATGCAAATAAAATTTTTTTGAAAAGCTTCCTATTTAGATTTATAATAATTAACTCAATAAATTATAACCATCATTTAACTGTTTAAGTGACCTGTTATAAGTTGTTACAATAACCTGTTCATATTTAAATATAATTTTTATCTCACTAAATACTTGGTGCAATATTTGTGTTGTCTGAGTGTGTGTGAATATATGTACATATATGCTGAGTGCGTACATAGCCAACGTACGTATGATTATGACCTATTTGTTCGTGGTGGCGGCGGCGAAGGGGAGGGGCGATTAAAATGCAGTCGCGCAACACCCGAACGGGAGAACGAAATACTTTTGATATTATATATATTAACAAGTACACAATGCAGAGGAACTGTGCTCGCTTTGTCCTATCTGGTTTGCCTTTTAATTGCAACACAAAAGCCCGTTTCCTTTGGACTGCGTGTATATTTATGAGTTTTCAATAAATAAATAAAAATCTATAATTAATGTGATATTTAAATAGCACTTCGGTGTCATATCTGAAGCTCAACCGGTGCCCCCTCCCCCGTCCGTTTAATACAACTCTTAATAGGGTGACCGGAGGGATCCCTTAATTAAATTTCTTTTTCATTTTATTTAATATTATTTTGACAGTTTTATTTATTATAGATGCAATTACAAATACCAAAGCCCATATTATAAAGTGACAAAGATACTTAAGGTAAACACGCGACGAGAAATATAATGGTAAATAAAATTATCAGTCCGATTGTATTTTAAGCAATACTGAAACTGAATGTGTGCCGGTATATTTTAAAACAAATATCAACCCCATAATGTCGAAAGTGGTTTTTCGTCAAAGTCCGAATTTCGTTAAGGTACATACTGGAAATAAATTTGAAACTTGATGTGTACAGACGTACAGTGTACAAGCGTTTCACAATTATAATATGTATGGTACAATGTAGATTAACGTAAATTGAAATTCAATCCAAATCATAACATTAACAGCGCTAAAATGCATAAAAATGTTGAGTTTAGTAACATCTGATAGACAGGTTGGTCATCGTCATGGTAGACTGGTTCATAAAAGTAAAAACGGACAGGTGGTGGAAGACTTGGTGGATTTTGTAACACAAGTATTAATGCGCAATGCCGAACGAAAGAAAATCAAATTTTATTAGGTGAAATTAGATTTTTTCTTTTAAGATTTTGTATAATACGAAGCGAACGATTTATATATATTCTGCGGACGTGCGCCACAGGATCGGACAAACTAAACGGTCTAAACGACGTGTTCGCAATATTAACACAATATTTCGCAATGTAACTTTTATTTATCATTATTTTCATTAATATTGTGTCATAAAAACCGGTGATAATTTCCTTTTTAGTGTTCATATACATAGTAATGGCATTTTATCATAAAAGTATATTATGACACATAAACTAACTATTATATT